CAGAGAGGGCGGCAGAGAGGGCGGCAGAGAGGGCGGCAGAGAGGGCGGCAGAGAGGGCGGCAGAGAGGGCGGCAGAGAGGGTACGGGCCGAGGAGGCGGCGAGGCGGAGGCGCGGGGCGGCGGAGGCGGCGGAGGCGGCGACGGCGCAGCGGCGCTGCTGCTGCTAGTCTAAGTGCAGCTGCACGCCCCAAAGCAAGCCACCACCTCTTCCCTCGGCCTGACCTCCGCCTCCGCCGCCACCGCCTCGGCCACCTCCGCCTCGGCCTCCGCTCCTCCCGCCGCCGAGTCCGCCAATGCCGGCCTGACCTACACCTCCGCCAATGCCGGCCTTGCCCACGGGCCGTGCCATGACCCGGCCGAGGGATCCGCGGCGGCGGAGGCGGAGGCAGCCGCGGAGGCGGAGGCAGCCGCGGAGGGGGAGGCGCCGCGGCGCACGGCGGTACTGCTGGCGCTCTCTGCGTCGCTCGACGGACGAGGCTCGCTGCGGCTGCTGCACGCCACGCGGGCGCCGCTCGACGCGCCGCCGCGCTACTTGCACGCCGAGCTCTCGCGAGCGCGCGCGCTGCAACCCCCGCTGGCGGCGCGTCACCGCGGCGCTTGCGTCGGCCACACGGCGCGAGGCAACAGTGGAGGCGTCCTCTCAAATGCGTCCGTCGAGACGGGCATCTCTCTCGAGGCGCTGCGCCACCCGACGATGCCGCTGGCCGTCTCGGGCTTCCGGCGGCCGGGCGCAGCGGCGGCGCGCAGGTCTTCGGTGCTGCCGCGTGGGGAGGCGGCCTGGAGAGGTGGCTGGTGTAGCCAGCAGTGACGCGTGCGGTCGGTTCTCTACCAGTATTTCACACACTTTACATAGCTGTCTAATCTGTAATCAGAACCCCGCGCTCTGCCGTCCTGCGGCACACCTGTGCTGCACCGTCACCCCCGTCTCTCGAGTCTCTCGAGAGATCAGAGAACCATACAATAGTGCAGGTGTCCGTTTTCATTTATTATTCGATCGTCGCTTACAGAGTGAGAGAGCTCACGTGCTTCCCCTCAAGCCTCATCCATCGCCGCGGTCGCCCCCCTCGTCGCGCCGCCCGAAAGTGCGGCGGCGGCGGCCAAACTCGCGCAACGCGCCGGCGAGCTCCGCGGTCCCGAAGTCGGGCCACAGGCCGTCGAGGACGACGATCTCGGTGTAGGCGCACTGGTACAGCCTGAGGGCCGTGAGTGGGCGCCGTGCGGGTGGAAGCGAAGGTACGGCATGCGGTGGGTGGGTGATTAGAACGCTGAACGAGGAGACTTCTCGAGCGCTCACGGGGCGGATGCCCCCTTCTTCCGCATCTACGGAGCAGCCACATGAAGTTGCTCAGCCGGTGCTGCCCGCCCGTGCGCAGCAGCAGGTCGGGGTCGCTGGGCGCGCCTATTGGACGCGTCGCGGACGGGCGTCGCGGACGTGTCGTGGACGCGTCGTCGGCAAGCCGGCGGTCGAGCGGCGCGCCGTGCGGCGCCTCGCGCAACGCCGCGGAGAGCGCGGCCTCGTCGATCTCGCGCGGCGAGATCTCCCGCGCGACCGCCCTCTCGGCGAGCTGCCTGCGGGGGGGCGTGCCGTGGACGTGTCGTGGACGTGTCGTGGACGTGGTATCGCGGACCTGAGACGTATCGCGCGCGACTGGGCAGTGGGCGGGCTGCCTGGCCGCCCGCGCGAGCTCCTGCGGCGGGGGAGGGGGCGTCGTGGGCGAGGGAGGGGAGGGGAGGGGAGGGGGGGGAAGAGCGAGTGAGCGGGCGAGGGAGGGAGGGAGGGAGAGGGAGGGAGGGAGAGGGAGGGAGGGAGAGAGAAAGACAGAGAGAGAAAGACAGAGAGGGGGGGGGGAGAGAGAGATATAGAGAGAGATATCCATCGGGTGCTACGAGCCCGCCTGCCGGCCGCCGTAGCTAAGCGCGACGCAGAGCCGAAGCCGCTCCCCCACCTAGCCGAGATTCAGCCGAGGGCTTCTCCAGCCGAGATCCAGCCGAGAACCAGCCGAGACAGTTGAGATGCAGCCGCCTGCCTCTGCGCGCTATCTCGGCTGCATCCCGGCTGCATCCCTGCTGCATCCCGGCTGCATCCCGGCTGCATCCCGGCTGCATCCCGGCTGCATCTCCCAAGCCTCCGCAGGAGGGTGTCGCGCCGCCACACGGGCCAGCAAGCGCTGCAGCGCCTGTCGGCAGCCAGAGACGTGAGGAGCTGCTCCAGTGCGTGAAGAGACGCGAGCAAGGCACTGCGGCACCGGAGACAGCCGCGTCAGATCGCCGACGAAGCTGAGTTGGACGCCGGTGGCGAGCAGCGCGTCCGCCTGGCGGCGGCGAGAGGGCGAGTGGGTGGGAGAGGGGAGAGAGATGCGCGATGTGAGCGAGTGAGTGGAGGGGAGGCGCTGCGCTGCGCCTCGGCGAGCAGGACGCTCTCGATCAGCGACAGCAGCGCCTGCACCTCGCTGCGCGGCCGCAGCCAATTCTCGTGCGAGAAGGCGTACACCGATAGCTCCCGCACTGCGCCCAGCGCTGCGCAGTCGCCGATGAGACGCCGCAGCGCCTCGACGCCCGCAGCGTGCCCTTCGGCGGTCGGGCGGCCGCGAGCGGCAGCCCAGCGGCTATTGCCGTCCATGATGACCGCAATGTGCCTCGGCACCGACGGCAGCTCCTCCGAGCACACCGCCTCCAGCAGCGGGTGCAGCGGCGCCGGCTCGGCGACCGAAGCCCTCAAGGCTGCGGTTGAGGCGCGATTCAGCGGCGAAGGAGACAGCAGCGGCCGAGCTATCGCCGCCGTAGCCACGCACAGCACGTCCCAGTAGTGCAGCATGGGCGTTTTGCCGGGCAACGAGTGAGGACAACGAGCAGGACAACGAGCGGGCGGGCACGAGTGAGCACAAAAAAGAAATGCGAGTCGTCTATTGGAGATGACTGCTCTATTTATTTCTTTCTTTCTTTAGCCTGCTTTGAACGTGTGGGCGGCAGCTGTCTGTTTACAGGCGCTGGCCGCCCGCGCGCGCGCCGGACCGGCTCCGGCACGTCCGGCGCTGGGCGGCGCGCGTCCACACGCGCGTCGCGCAAAAGGCGAGCGCTCGCCGCCGCTACGGCGGCGGCGGCGGCCGACGGCCGACGGCCGACGGCCGACGGCAGACGGCAGACGGCATACGGCCTAGGGCTCGGCTGGGCGCGCACGCGCACGCGCGCGCGTCGCGCGCCACGCGTCGCTCCGCGAGGGCGCGCGCCAACCGCGATTCGAACCGGGGCCAAAAGGCGCCTGGAGCGACCGCGGTCCGGTCGCGCCACCGCGGCTGCGGGGCTGATAGAGCAGGCCGGCTGCGGCTCCCAATGTACCTCCACTTTTGGGTGGCGGTCGCGCGCGGCGCTCGTGGCGTTCAGGGCGGCTCCACACGCACACACACACACACACACACACACACACACACACACACACACACACACACACACACACACACACACACACACACACACACACATGCACAGACACACAGCCCCTTCCCCTCCCCCCTCAAGGGCGAGGACACGCACAGGCCGCACCTCTAGTGAGGCCCGCATAGTATGTGGGAGACTCGTGCCGCCGCCCCTGCCACCCCTGTGTCAGTGTGCATGTGCGAGAGACTGCCAGCGACAAGCTGGAGGCAGGTCGCTAGACTGAGATGAGACCGCCAGTGGATGTGGGAGTCCACCGTGCACCGCGCTGCGAGCCTGTCGTGTCCCTTGTCAGGAGCAGGAGAGCCCCACCTGTCCCCCTGATCGTCCTTCCAAAATCCTGCTCGTGCAGGTGGGGACCTTGTCCTCGTCCCATCCCTCGTTTGGCGTGTCTGTTTTCTTTCTTTCTTTCTTTCTGCTCTATTTAAGAAGCCGCGAGAACAAGGGACCGGCAGGCGGCGGCGTCGCAGGACGAGACAGAAGAGAACGACGCGACAGAGGAGGAAATGACAAGGGAGAGAACGACGAGAGTGGGACGACCGCGAGGTGGCATGAAGGCTGCAGCGAGAAGCGGCGAGAGACTGCGAAGAGAGATAGGAAGAGGCAGACTCCCTAGGGTGGGCGACGGCTAGCGCATCACACACCTCTCCTTAAAATCCCTGTGTGGTGGCGGCGTGCCGTCCTCCCATCCCTCCCTTGGGTTGTCTGTTTTCTTTCTTTCTGCTCTATTTATTTATTTATGTGCTTACTGACGGCCGACCGTTCGCAGGGAGAATTCTTAAAACATGGCTCTCTCAGGCTCTCACAGACTGCACCCCAAGAGCCAAGTGCTCAAGACCAAGTGCTCACAGCACACACTGGCACGACAAGGGCGCGGAACTGAGCGACAGAGAAGACGAATTCCGGCACAACTTCAATAAAATGTCAGCAGAGTAGTCCTCCTACGGGAATGTACGTAAGAGCTACATCCGCCGAATGCACCAACCAGTGGCCTCGCGCAAAGCGCGGGAGAGCTGTGGCTCGGGGTCAGACAGCGCGCCTCTCCGCCGGAAAGGTGCTCTTCCGTGTCCACTGTGATCATCTCGACCACGGCTACAGCCCACGCCGACTAAAACCCTGGGTGCGAGGGGAGGGGGAAGTACATGCACGTAAGCGGCTTTGGGGCGAGATGCGGGCCGCCGGGTGGGTGATTGGGGGGTCTGTGGGGCGAGGTGAGTTCTTACCGCGGGATATATTGTTGATTGGGTGCGAACGGCTACCGCGAGCACGAAGATAGGGGTGTGCGACGCGCACCTGATTTTAGCCGCGCGTGGCAATCTGGCGCCAGTTTTAGAGGGCCTCGAGCCGTGGTGGCTCCGTCCGGAAGGCGCCTCGAGGCTCCGGATCGGTTTGCGAGGCCGGAGTGATGGCAGACCTGCAATCCCCTAGCGCGGATTGGCCCCTCGCAACCCCTTGGGCGCGCACGCGGCGGCAGAAGCGAAGAGGCGAGGGGCGACTGCCACACTGGGGAGCGGACCGTTTCTTAACCCTCCTACGCAGATGGTTTTGCGTGATTTTGGCCCCCCCGCCCCTAACATTATGGCCGACAGAGCGGCTGGGAGGCTAATGTTAGGGGCGGGGGGGCCGATCTGGTGTCCAGACCAGGGCTCGGCGCCATGAGCAGACGTATTTTGTCGTATCTGCGTAGGAGGGTTAATGGGCAAAGTCGGCGAAATCGAAAATGCCTGTTTTCTCGTTTTTCGTGCACTACCGGCCACAGCCGTGCCTCAGGCATCCAAGTCGGGCAACATGTGGGCGGCACGGGACCGGAGGCTTGGCCCTAGGCCGAAGAAAGGGTATGCGAGGGTGCTCGCGAGCACCAAAGCCACTTGCGGCATTCGCCAGCAATCCCTGCTGCACACAAGAAGCGAGCGGTCCGGACGTCTGGCGGCCACTGAAGGCAATCGCACGGTGGGGGAGGCGGTCCGCGTGTTACGTACGTCTTTGAAAAGTGACACCGTCGCTAGTTTACCGGTCGCCGAGTGAATTCGGACCCGCTCGAGTCGCTGCGAGGAGCCCTCGGGACTGCCTCGGCCGGCTCTAGCAGCGACGCACACACTCGCTACTGCTGACTAGTCGCGCCGAGGGCGGAGAGTGACTCACACGTAGCTTAATATGTCAGCGATGCAGCTCGCACAAGGGCGGCGGAGCCGAGGGCAGCGAGTGTGGTGGCGGCGACGGCTGGTGGCCGGCCCGACGGTGCCTCGGCGCGTAGCACACCTATAGGCGGTTTCGCCGGCGGTTCCGGTTCTGCGCGCGCTGGCGACGGCGAGAGGGACACCGGGTAGACCCGGCGCGACCGTGTTGGCCGAGGGCGGCGGCAGCGGGCGCGACAGAGCTGGTGCTGCCGCGAGCAAGACGGCAGCGACGCGCGGCAAGCCGCACGCTGCCATGGGCGAACCTAGCGCATGAGCCGTCGAATGGCCTACGACACGGGGCGAGGAGCGGCTCAGAGCTCGGCTGAGAGTGTCGCACAGCTGGCGCCAGCAGCAAGCAGCTCACCTACAGAGAAACGCATTTGAGTGACACACTAGCGAGAGATCGTCGAAGCTCGCAGACGCTGTTCACCTCGAGATCACGGCGGATTGCTTCGCATAGTACCTATATTCTTTACTTTGGATGTGAATGTGATGTTCCACACCTCATTCAAATGCTATTCACACCTCATTCAAATGCTCTTTTCATTCAAATGTTACTCCATCTACTGTGGAACATCACATTCACAGTCCAAAATCATGCATTAGAAGAGTATATAGGGGGTATCTTTGATTAGAGATTCATTTAGGGCTGATGCAACCTCCGACTCCCTTCCCGTACATCCAACTGCTCCCGCCACACCCTTCTCGGACCATCGCGCTGCTCTTCGCGCGAGTAAATACATGATTTCGCGCCTTCTGGAACGCCTGCTGATACCGTCTTCCCGGCAGCCGGCAGCCTCGATACGGCCATCTCGACGACAGAAACGCGGCCGAGATCACTCGCAGACGAGTCGTGCGTGTGTGTGTCGTCGATCGCCGAGCTAATCGGTGGTCTCGCGCCGCTGTTGAAGCACACACTCTGCGCGAGCACCTCGCTTCATCATCCTCGCCGGCACAGACTGGTACTGCTCGACGAGGCCGAGATAATGCGCGAGACGGGTCGGAGGCCGCTATCTCGCACCCAGCTGTGTCGCCATCGCGCTCAGTATGGCCGCCTGTGCACGAGTTGGTCGCGTGGCGGCTTTACGGATGAGTCGCGGCGATAATTTGTTGGTCAGCAGCTGCACGCCGCCACTCGTCCTCAGCATGCATTGGCATTGGCTGTCGCTGCCAGCCGTTCGGTGTGGTGGCATCGCGACTGTAGGAGTCGTGCCTGACCCGTGCCGTGCGCGTGCATTGCTCAGCGCTGCGTTGCTGGTCCGTCTCACCCCATGCCGGCATGCTCTGGCTGCGCTGGCTGCACTGTCTCGGCGTCGACACATGACAGAGACTGTGCCGCGATTGTGGCCGGGCTAAGGCGGCCAGCGGGCCAGCTCGTGACCGCTGTGAGCGGTCTGTGCAAGTGGAGCTCCGCAGTTTGGGGCTGGCTTGACTCACGGCGGCCAAGCATCGATCGGCGGCAGTGCCCGATCACTGTTTGTAACGCACCCATCGCCACTCCAGTCTATATATATGTTCTGAACTTGGCGCATTAACCCTCCTACGCAGATGGTTTTGCGTGATTTTGGCCCCCCCGCCCCTAACATTATGGCCGACAGAGCGGCTGGGAGGCTAATGTTAGGGGCGGGGGGGCCGATCTGGTGTCCAGACCAGGGCTCGGCGCCATGAGCAGACGTATTTTGTCGTATCTGCGTGGCGGCGACGGCTGGTGGCCGGCCCGACGGTGCCTCGGCGCGTAGCACACCTATAGGCGGTTTCGTCGGCGGTTCCGGTTCTGCGCGCGCTGGCGACGGCGAGAGGGACACCGGGTAGACCCGGCGCGACCGTGTTGGCCGAGGGCGGCGGCAGCGGGCGCGACAGAGCTGGTGCTGCCGCGAGCAAGACGGCAGCGACGCGCGGCAAGCCGCACGCTGCCATGGGCGAACCTAGCGCATGAGCCGTCGAATGGCCTACGACACGGGGCGAGGAGCGGCTCAGAGCTCGGCTGAGAGTGTCGCACAGCTGGCGCCAGCAGCAAGCAGCTCACCTACAGAGAAACGCATTTGAGTGACACACTAGCGAGAGATCGTCGAAGCTACAAACAGTGATCGGGCACTGCCGCCGATCGATGCTTGGCCGCCGTGAGTCAAGCCAGCCCCAAACTGCGGAGCTCCACTTGCACAGACCGCTCACAGCGGTCACGAGCTGGCCCGCTGGCCGCCTTAGCCCGGCCACAATCGCGGCACAGTCTCTGTCATGTGTCGACGCCGAGACAGTGCAGCCAGCGCAGCCAGAGCATGCCGGCATGGGGTGAGACGGACCAGCAACGCAGCGCTGAGCAATGCACGCGCACGGCACGGGTCAGGCACGACTCCTACAGTCGCGATGCCACCACACCGAACGGCTGGCAGCGACAGCCAATGCCAATGCATGCTGAGGACGAGTGGCGGCGTGCAGCTGCTGACCAACAAATTATCGCCGCGACTCATCCGTAAAGCCGCCACGCGACCAACTCGTGCACAGGCGGCCATACTGAGCGCGATGGCGACACAGCTGGGTGCGAGATAGCGGCCTCCGACCCGTCTCGCGCATTATCTCGGCCTCGTCGAGCAGTACCAGTGACGCGTCCTGTGCCGGCGAGGATGATGAAGCGAGGTGCTCGCGCAGAGTGTGTGCTTCAACAGCGGCGCGAGACCACCGATTAGCTCGGCGATCGACGACACACACACGCACGACTCGTCTGCGAGTGATCTCGGCCGCGTTTCTGTCGTCGAGATGGCCGTATCGAGGCTGCCGGCTGCCGGGAAGACGGTATCAGCAGGCGTTCCAGAAGGCGCGAAATCATGTATTTACTCGCGCGAAGAGCAGCGCGATGGTCCGAGAAGGGTGTGGCGGGAGCAGTTGGATGTACGGGAAGGGAGTCGGAGGTTGCATCAGCCCTAAATGAATCTCTAATCAAAGATATACCCCCTATATACTCTTCTAATGCATGATTTTGGACTGTGAATGTGATGTTCCACAGTAGATGGAGTAACATTTGAATGAAAAGAGCATTTGAATGAGGTGTGAATAGCATTTGAATGAGGTGTGGAACATCACATTCACAGTCCAAAGTAAAGAATATAGGTACTATGCGAAGCAATCCGCCGTGATCTCGAGGTGAACAGGCGACAATCCGACTGCTCGACATGGAGCGTTCACGGAGCGTCAAATGCCGCTACAACAACGGCACTCTCCCGCAGTACATGCCACGCATCTTCACCACCAACAGCCAGCTGACAGAGGAGGACCACATATTTCCTCGAGGGCGCAACGCCAAGCAGCAGCACGCAATTGATCGCCGCTACCGCAAGATTGGTCCGCTGACAGAGCCGCTGCAGCGACTGGGACGCAAGCTCACACCGGGCGAGCTCATAGTGAAGAAGATGGTGAAGGGAGTGCTTGGGCGCGTGACCAAAGGCGCCAGAGGTGCCAAGCGGCCTGCTGCGCCCCCTCCCAGGCTGCAGCCCCCCCCCCACGCAAGCGGCGGGT